AGGAAATGTTGGAATCTCCTCCTTTTCTTAGTTCTGGACAGGTAACCGGAGTGTCATGCTAAATGCAAGGTGGGGCTATGGGATAGCAACAGTCGAAGCAATCACCTAAAATGAAGAGAGGAGAAGTACAGTCCAAACTGGTGTAATGAGCCATAAAACCAGGGTGTCTGCTGCGACCACCAGCCCTAATGCTTTGCAAAGGTATCAACGGAATCTCCCAGGCTCATGTCTTTGAAGGTTGTGAATGTGCTGAGAAGCTGTTGTCCTTTGAGGATGAGGACTGATGCATCAGACACACAGCAATCGCTTGGTGAAAAACATTCAAGCACAGGTGAGACCGTGCTGTTGTCTTTTATCATTTCGTTGTGGGGTTTTCTTTGAGACACTGCTGTTGGGGGCCATTTCATGCACTGGAGGAGGCACACCCCCTGTCATGATAGGCGTGGGTAGAATCCATGAATCTTGCAAGTTGTGTTGTGGAGATAATTGCTCCTCCCAGCAGTGGAGCTATGTCTGGAGGTGTTGCATCTGTTCTTCTGGCAGGATTTCATGCTGCTTTGAGTGGTTACGTCCTGATCTGCGGGGAGCTTGCTTCTGAGGATGAGCTTAGTGATGCTGAGGGATTGTTTTAAGGCCAGAAGAGAAGGTTTTTTTAGAAAAGAAATCAGGATGTTGTCTCTAACAACATGGGTTATACTCATTCCCTGATACCCCAGATGGGTTTCAGATGGAGTGGTAGGAGACAGGTAGGAATGTACAATGGGTGGTGGGGTTTTTTCTGCACTGAAGTAGGTTCTCTCAGGCTACTTGGGTGACCCATTCCGTGGTACAATCTATTTCTCCGGTGGAATGTCCTTCTTTGATGAAGGCAGTTTTAAGTGTGTTCAAAATAGTGCATGTCAGATTTTCTCCTTGGAACCTGTCCATGGTATTTGAGGGCCTGATGTATCTGGGATGCCTACAGGATCTGTGATGGTAAGTACAGTCATCCATGGGTTTCTTGTATATAGTTGTCTGTACAGTTCCCTTACTGAAGCTTACAACCTGGATTGAGCGAGGCATGGTCACTTGCACCAACAATCGCCCCGCATTCAGTTTTCTGACTCTCCCAAGAGACCAGTCACTTGCTTCAGATCAGTTAGTACCCTAGATCTTACACCACAGACAACTCCTGCATCCAGGCCAGGATAAAACTATCAAAAGTTTTATTAACTAGAGGTGGAAAAAAAGAAATGAGTTTTTCAGGTGAAAACACACAGACACAGACACAGACACAGACACAGACACAGACACAGACACAGACACAGACACAGACACAGACACAGACACAGACACAGACACAGACACAGACACAGACACAGACACAGACACAGACACAGACACAGACACAGACACAGACACAGACACAGACACAGACACAGACACAGACACAGACACAGACACAGACACAGACACAGACACAGACACAGACACAGACACAGACACAGACACAGACACAGACACAGACACAGACACAGACACAGACACAGACACAGACACAGACACAGACACAGACACAGACACAGACACAGACACAGACACAGACACAGACACAGACACAGACACAGACACAGACACAGACACAGACACAGACACAGACACAGACACAGACACAGACACAGACACAGACACAGACACAGACACAGACACAGACACAGACACAGACACAGACACAGACACAGACACAGACACAGACACAGACACAGACACAGACACAGACACAGACACAGACACAGACACAGACACAGACACAGACACAGACACAGACGTCATCTAAGTCCTAACTGACAGAGTTGTAGAGATCTGTCAGTTCAAAATGTCTTTCAGGGCAGAACCCAGAGGTAACCCCTAGAGATATTTGGCTTCAGTTAGGTGTCCCCTGGCCCTGTGAGTCAAACTGTGAGGAAAGATGGCAACTTTTCCTGCAACTTTTGTTTATTTCCTGCCCTTAGCTTCCAAATTACCAGGACAAGCCTCCTTCTAGGTAGCATTACCAAGATATGACCAGCTCTCTTTAGGGTGATACTCATGAATGGCCCATTTGATTTTGACTGTCATTCTGGACGGGTGTGTAGGGTGATTCCCATGCTTCGGTTCAGAGCAAATATTCTCACAGTGATGAAGTAAAATGTATTCATTTTCTTCTAACATGGAATACTGACATTACAAGTGAGATTCATGCAGACAGCAACTTGCAAGCATTTCACAGACTCGAAACCTGTGCTCCTGTTTTTCATCAGGGGCATGTGTACATTAGCAAACTATTTGGAAACTAGCCAATTAGCCCTTCATAAGACGGGATTTTCAGGTCTTTCCTGAGCCTCCAGTCTCTCGCTCCGTCTCTCCCTCCTCCGCCCCCTGCCTCTCTCTCTCTCTGTCTCTCTCTTTCACTTCTCCTCCCCCTCCTATCTCTCACTTGGGAGACCGCGGAGGCCAAATGGCCGTTTGGGCTATGCACTCCCTGTGCTGCATGGGGAGCGCAGAGCCCAAAGGGTCTCTTGCACCGCTTGCTCCCACGCCACGGCCCGGCTGAGTGGCACAGAAGTCAGCCGAGTGCCAGGAAGGGGGGCGGAGCAGTGATGTTCACAGCCAGGGGGTGGGACATGGAGCCGCTGTCACACCGCACGTCACCGCCCCACCCCCCTTCGCCTCCCACCGTGGCACTCGGCTGACTTCTGCATCAGGCGCCCCGGGGGGAGGCAAAGGGGGGCGGGGCGGGGATGTTCACGGCCAGGGGGCAGGGCCTGGAGCTGCTGTCACGCCACACGTCACCGCCCCATCCCCCTTCGCCTCCCACTGTGGCACTCGTCTGACTTCTGTGCTGCTCAGCCGGGCCGCCACGGGGGAGCAAGTTGCGCAAGCGACCGTTTGGGCCCCACACTCCTCATGCAGCACAGGCACCCCAGAGGGAACAGCCAGCATTTTGGCGTTACAGACTCTCAGACACTGGGCTACTATACACAGGAAGCCCCCGGGTTACATGGATCTGACTTACATCGGATCCCTACTTACAAACGGGGTGAGGCAACCCCGCACTAGCTGCTTCCCCCCAGCAGACCAGGGAGACGCGGAGCGGCTTTTCTCAGCAGACACCTCAGCTTGAGAATAAAGGACTGAGGGAAGTGAGGTATGGGAGAATAAAACTGAGCTCTGGAGAAATGTTTGGCTAGAGTTTCCCCTACAATATGTACCAGTTCTGACTTACATACAAATTCAACTTAAGAACAAACCTACAGTTCTTATCTTGTACGTAACCCAGGGACTGCCTGTATATGATAACTAAAATTGATTTAATAACATCAAAATAGTATGTCCTCACTATGGGGAAGCCTCGAAATTAGTTGGAGGCAGGAAGCACTAGTGAGTAATTAGCTGAAATTACCCTGGGGAGTAGTTATTTCAAAATAGCATCACTGGAGCATCCACACTACCACTATTTCAAAATAACTGTTTCGAAATTAGCGTAATTCCTGAAGGAAAACAGTACAGATTTCAAAATAATCGGCTCATTAATTTGGAATAACGGGCTTTGTAGTATGAACACTGCTTATTCATTCAACCCAAGGGGGTTTATTTCAAAAGAAAGCCCACATGCAGACCAGGGCCAGGAGTAATGCTAATTCTGATATAGTTATTTTGAAATAATGCTAGTGTGGACGTGCCACTAGCATTCAAAATAACTAGTCCTCAGAGTAATTCAAACTAATTACTCCCTAGTGCTTCCCAGGGCTCTAAATTGAGTAGCACATGGGACTAATTTTGAAGCTTCCCCATAGTGTGGATAACCTGGTTTGATTTTGTTAAATCAGGAGTTAAGTCAAATTTACTAATTTCAAAATAGTTTCCTAGTGTAGACATGGGCCAAATACACTCTCATTAGACTAATTTGAGCTAAAGTAACATACAGGAGAGCTGGTCTGATCTCCATTGACGGGTTTGTTAGTTCTTCACTAATGTCAGCCATCCTGGCAGGAGCTGACATCTGGCACGCCAGTGTCTCACTACGACTTACAAAAAATGATGCGGGGCCATTGCCTGGATAGATCACTATAGCGTTGACAGCATGATGCCTGGGGAGATGGCAGAATGCCTCTCTTGGCATCAGGGCGACCAGCATAAGACATTAGACTTGCACCAAGAGTTTCGTTACTGTCAGCTGGATGTTAGAATTCTGAGAGGGTGTGCAGAGTGGAGACTGTGAAAATGACAAAGATGGGAGATATTGCAGAGAAAAGTCCTGATAAATTCACAGAGGTAAAATTGTCTCTAGATCCTTTCCGGTACATAGCCATGCAGACAAATGCCAGCATTCTGTTCAGGTTTATGTTTTCACATCTGAACAACATAACATGTCTCTCTCTCTGCAGACAACTATCACAAAGAGAGAGATTCAACCCTGGTTATTTAATGGATGTTGCATACTGCTCACAAAGAAAATGGACAGATACGGCATGCATTAGAGGCGGAGAAATTACAGCTGGGGCCCTACTTTCTAAACGTTTATACTAGGGACGTTGAAACTGTGAATCAGTCAAATGAGCAGAATTAACTGGTTTACCATTTCGACTCAGGTCCGGGCCACCTTGCCCCGCTGCAGCCACGGCCCTGTGGTCTTGCTGATACTTCTGTGGCTGGAGCTCTTCTCACATGGTATAGCCAGCTGCCAGCAGAGGGCATTGATGGAGCTGTCCTCCATGAATTTATCTAGTTCTTTTTTGAACCCTGTGAAAGTCCTGGTCTTCACAATGTCCTCTGGCAAGGAGTTCCACAGGTTGATTGTGTGTTGTGTGAAGAAATACTTCCTTATTTTCCATTTTAAACCTGCTACATATTCATTTCATTTGATGACCCCAGTTCCTGTGTTATCAGAAACACAAAGCCCAATTTTCTCAACTTCGGGTGCTTTGGGATTTTCTTTTTTGGGGAGAGGACTAACATTATTTGCCCATATTAAAACTAACCTCAATGGAGAAATCCACTATTACAATTCTACCAGTCTAGACCCTGGTGTCAAAAAAAACAAAGAATGCCCAATCAGACAGCCTGATGTCATTTGTGATAGACTGGAACCTCTCACAAATTATTTTGGCATTGCAAATGTATATGGCACCCCTTACCAGGTCTCCTTTCCCCTTGGTTACAATGGATGGCAAACTTGTGTTCCCTTGATGGCAAATTTGTGCAGAAACCAGTAGCAGGAGCCAAGCACCCATACCGATGAGAGAGCTCTGTTGGGAACTTGGTGCACAGTGGAATAGAATGCAGCCAAAG